TTGACTGTTAAAAGTAAATAATAATTGCCAAAGTAGATGAAGAATTTAGGCACAAGAACAGATTTGTTACAGTACTATACAATCTGGGGTCACGTTAAATATCACTAACAAATTGCATTTTTCTGAACATTGTTTGATGATTTTCTTCTAGCCCTGCCTAGCTAGGTGCTGGTCATTTCACTTTTACCATCCTTTACTTTTACAGTCTATGTTTTCAAACCCGACTCTTTCAGGTGAAAAGAAGCCATCTGCCACAGGGCATTTTGTTTTAATCTTGCATCAGTTTGTCCCTACCTTGGGAAGGTTTTGCTTTCACGTTGCAGTAATCTAACCCTGTCTACTGTGATGGATTGTGGGTAAGTTATACCAGTTAGTAACATCTACCTGCAGAAGTCATTCAGGCATTTTTGTTTGATCAGAGGTCATCATTTGTCATATTTTATCAGTCAGCTGGCCCATTGGGGGTAACAACTACAATTCATGGAAACAGGGTGTAAAATAATACAATTTTCTGAGAAAAGATATACATTTTAATAAATTAATGTGTGAGATTTGTGCATTGTTATTAACATTAATCTTCATCGGTTAATCAAAAATACCTAACTAGGACGGGGCTGCAGTTGATAGCACTGTTGCCTTGCAGCAAGAAGGTCCTGGGTTCGATTCCTGTCCGGGGGTCTTTCTGCATTGAGTTTGCATGTTCTCCCCGTGCATGCGTGGGTTCTCACCGGGTACTCTGGCTTCCTCCCACAGTCCAAAGACATGCCTGTTAAGTTAATTGGTCTCTCTAAATTGCCCTTAGGGGTATGAATGAGTGTGTGCATGGTTGTTTGTGTGTTGCCCTGCGATGGACTGGCGACCTGTCCAGGGTGGACCCCGCCTCTCGCTCATAGACTGCTGGAGGTAGGCACCAGCTTCCCCACGACCCACTATGGAATAAGCAGTAGAAAATGACTGACTGACTGACCTAACTAGGACATAGGTGGATTTACACTGGTTAAGCCAAGGGAATGAAATTACTGTTTACAGGTACAAAATGGGAGAAGGTTGGGATGAAATGGAAATATTTGGGTATGAAGTGGCAAAAGGAATGAATTGACCCAGAGCCTGTCTTGCTCCATCAGTCCATCCCTCTGAAGACAAACATTAAAGAGAAATTATTTCTTTTGTTGACTATAATGTTCAGTAATTGTTCTAGGAATGTGTGTTACTCAAATTAAATCTACATCTTACCGTGATAGACTGAATTAGCATTGAACTACATGGGTTTAAGTTAAAGTGTACTATCTATAAATTGATTTTTATTGGAGTTCGTGTTTTTGACAGATGATTCTAAAACAATGGAGCAGAGGACTAGTTGGGAATAAACCAATAACAGCATTCCAGTAAAAACACCTCATTCCCACTGTGAAGCATGGAGCTGAAGTGTATTGATGGTGGATGCTTTGAGGCAGCATCTCACAGCTGAACGTAAGGAGTGGGTCCAAAGGTCCCTCAGACTGATGCCAGGGACTAGTAGATGGCTACAAGAAGCATCTCACTGACGTTATTTCAACCAAAAGGGCTTGCTATTAGACGGTAGGGTGTCCTAACTTTTATTTAATGAGTAAAACAAGGCAAACTGGTTTAGCGCGATTACACCACTTTCATTTTCAGGGAAAAAAAACTTGATTATACATCGATATGTGAACATTTTTATGAAGTGAATATTTTTGTGGGTGTCACATGACTGCAGCAGGAGTTTATTTTAATGTCTTCTTTACTTTTTCAAGCCATTTGGACTTACTAGGAAGTTTTGATGAACAGTTTAAAACTGTATTGTTCCTATGGTTGAAGTATGAAATGACAAAAACCATCCCTGACATTAATGTGTTAGATTGTTTCCTGAATTAACTGACTTTTTCAGTATTTTTTCTGGATTTCTTAATAGTAATAGTACAAAGCATAAATTTACACAGCTCATTGTTGGCATTTGGGATCTTCTATGTTTTTAAGTCAATTTTCAGTTTTACACCTTTTAGCACTTATCTATTAACTTATTATCAGTGTGTGTGTTTGGTTTCAGGGGTTGGTTAACACAGACCAAGCTGTCACGGTCCTGCCCGGCGGTAGACTGATTGGATGGGAGGGATTTGTGTCAGTGTTTGCTCTGGTTAATGAACAAAGGGAAGGTGAGCCAACACAATACACACACTGTTGGTGGAGGGACACGATCAGTGTGTGTGTGTGTGTGTGTGTGTGTGTGTGTGTGTGTGTGTGTGTGTGTGTGTGTGTGTGTGTGTGTGTGAAGGGTGACTGCCTAAAGCCTAACAACCCACCTCTGGCTGATTTGTAGCCTCCCATTTAAGTAAACATGCCAGAGAGCGCTATGCCAAGGAATCTAACCTGTGGAAGGAAGGAAGAAATCCTCCATCCATCATTGACCAAGAACTCAAATTTCCGCCGGTCATGGCTGGATAATTAGAGACTTCCACTACTCGATGAGTTACTAAGAAGTTAAAAAGACAACAAACTATATGAGATAGAAATGTCATCAACAAATTTTCTTTCATTAGCCAGTTAAAGAAGGTCAAAGGGATTCATAGCAACAAACTCGCATGTACAGTGCCTTCCAAAAGGTAGAACACTTTAACTATTTCCTAATTTGTCACTTTGCAATCACAAACTTTGATGTATTGTAATGTGATTTTTTATGATGGACCAACACAAAGAAGCGCTGACTGTTGAGTAGAAGGAAAAGGCAACATGTTTTTCAAATGTTTTTACAAAGAAAAATCTTGTGTCTTGTTTTTATATTTAGACCCTATTTTCTCTGATGCCCCTAAATATAATGCAACCCAACTGCCTTCAGAAATCACCCAAATAGTAAATAGAGTCCACCGGTTTAATTATTTTAAAATGTATAGATTCAGCTGTTCTGTGAGAGCCTTAAGAGAACATTAGTAAACCAATAACACAATAAAGGCCAAGAAACACAGCAGACAGGGAAAGCTGTTCAGAAGTTTAAAACATGTTTAGGTAATAAAACAATATCCCAAGCTTTGAACATCTCACAACTCTGTTCATTCCATCATCCAAAAATAAAAAGACTATGGCACGACTGCAAACTTCTCAAGGCATCACAATCAAAATCGGCTTTATTTGCAGAAATTGTGTGCACATTTAGTATAGATATATAAACCTTAGAATAAATAAAATTAAGGATAAGTGAAACAGTATGTACTGTACATGTATGTGTATGTGTGACATAATCATCTACCTAAACTGACAGGCCTGGCAAGAAGCACCCAAGAGGTCCATGGTGAGGAAATCTGTTGGCAGCTATTTTTTGTGAACTCCTGAAATCTGGCCTATATGGAAGAGTGGCAACAAGAAAATCACAGTTGAATGAAAACCATAAAAAGCCCCATTTGTTTTGCCACAAGCCATGTAGGAGACACATGAAATAGGGGGAAGGTGGAAAAAGGTGCTCTGGGCAGACTAGCTCCAAACTGAATTATTTTAGCTAAATACAAAATGTTACATGTGGAGAAAAACTAGCACAGCACCCTGGACACACCATCTCTAATGTCACACATGGTGGTGGGAGCACAATAATGTGGGATTGTCTTCAGCAGGGGACAGAGAAGTTAGCTAGAGTTGATAAAAAGATGGATGAAACTAAATACAGGACAACCCTGTAAAAGGAAGCTTAAGACTTGACCCTGAGACCAGACCTACAATGCAATAGTTTAGACCAAAGAATATTCATGTTACAACTGCCCAGCTAAAGTAAAAGTCTAGAAATAACCCCTTTTGCCATCCGTTGCAAGTCTTTTTGCTGTTCACAGATGCTTCTTGATCACTCTGACTGAACTTGAGCTATTTCACAAACAAAAATAAGCAAAAATGGCACTCTCTAGACATGTCAAGCTGGCAAAGACATTCCCAAAAAGACTTGCAGCTATAGGTGCAGTGAAAGGTGGTTTTAAAAACAATTAAGTCAGGGATTGAATATAAATAGAAGCTGCACTGTTCAGGTGTTTTATTTGTAAAATATTGCACCATGCATCACTTTTTACAACTACTTTGTGTTGTCTCTGACATAAAATCCTCATAAAATATATTAGAGTTTGTGGTTGTAAAGGTGATGAGATGTAAAAAGGATTTTTTTCCAAAGGTTTCCTATCTGTGATTCATTGTGCACTTAAATAGGGAAAGTGTTGCAATAACAATGTTCATTTTTAAAATTTGGCTGTGGTGTTCAAGAAGATGCAACCAAAAGGTAATAAACATCTCAAGATGATGTAGATGTCTTATCTTGAAGTCATACATACATCAGGTTTAATCATACCCTGGACTTTTCACCAATATACACATGACATCTTCCATCAGCCAATTTACCCTGGGGTGGAACTTTATTTTCATGCTTATTTAATTTCCAGCGTATTCCAATTTTAATCAAATTAGGTCAGGTTTGTTTTTTGATGGACTGGTTGAATTTAGAGCTGGTTATTTAACTGAATGTTACATATTAGGGAAGTTGCATTAACACAGGTTTGAGCTTTAGCTGCTGAATCTTTGAACAATGTCTCAGTCATCTGTTATTGTTAAAAAAAGGAAATGACAGGTAGTTTAAAATTCTGTAGCCCCTTGTTGACTTCTTTGATGGCAGATGTATCTTTCAGTGACATAGCTCAATTTTTGGAGAGCTGCTGGAAGTACTTCTTTAGGCTTCCAAATCTCCAGAAGAGTTATGTGGAGGACATAGTTTTGTCATTACAGTTTTCAAATGGGGGTTCTCACCCTAAAGGCAGAAATACAGTATGTCCTCCTTCCCTACGCTTCTTGAAAATTGTTCTCTCTGGCTTTTCTATCATTCAATTCAAAAATGCTTTATTAATCCCAAAGGGAAATTAAATCACAATAACCAAAATCAATCTAATTAAATTCAACTGTTTAGAACACAAACAGTTATACCTAACAATCTACATGAAATATTTTTAAAATATAATATGTTAGGCGCCGGGTGGCTCAGTTGGTAGAGCAGGCGTGCGATGTGCCGAGGCTATAGTCCTCGATGCAGTTGTCCTTGTTTTGATTTCTGGTCTCGCCACACTCTTTCCTTTCAAACTACTGTTCAATAAAGGCCACTAGTGCCAATACAATTAAATAAAATATACAGGGGTTGGACAATGAAACTGAAACACCTGGTTTTAGACCACAATAATTTATTAGTATGGTGTAGGGCCTCCTTTTGCGGCCAATACAGCGTCAATTCGTCTTGGGAATGACAT